TTTTTTTGCCAGTATTTGACTGACAACAAAACTAGCCTTTACTGCCGTATTTGATAAAATAGCTTGATTTTTAAAAATAGCCTGTTGTTTTCCCAAGTTTTTCTCCATTTGATTAAACTTATCTATCCGGAGTTGTCCTGTTAAGTTTTTATACTGTTGTTCATGTTTTGTATCGTAATGCCTTTTTATGTTATATTCTTTTAATGTCGACACAGTCTCTGAGCATATTAAGCATACAGCTTTATCTTCGATGAAAGTGAAAAAATAATCAAATTTCCACTTTTCTTGGAAATGCCTGTGCTCATCCGCAACCTTCCGTTTTTTTTGTTTGCTTTTCCGACATGCTATTGTGGATTAAACATTTGAAAGTTAAAAAAAATTGTAGGAAAACTTAATTTTGAATAAAAAAAACTCTAATATTACCTTTTTGACAATAATATTGCACTCACGCCTTTCAAGAAACACAAGAATTGCTAAAATTGCTAGTTAACAGCTTACCAGTCTGACTGATTGTGTGACAGCAGCAAACACAAACAAGCACAGCGCGGCGCGTTCGTATTGCATGTTTGAACAACTCGCCGCCAAGTGAGTAACTCGTCACAAAAAATTGTTTCGGTTTAGTATGTACTACCATTTGATTATAAATAATTTTATAACAATATATTGATGGGAGAAAGTCGATAAAATAAATTCAATTTTAAAAATGCTTGGCGGGCCGCATAAACATGTTTAACGGGCCGCGTGTTGCTCATCCCTGGTATAAATAGAAGCAGAGTTCTTTACGGTAAGCCTTAATCCTAACCATCTTTCTTCAGTGAGGTTGGTGATCTGTAAACCGGGTGAGGTTGGTGCTCTGTAAAGCTCATGCGCAAATCTGGCTTTTTGGAATCTGAAAATTTCAGAGATTCCACTCCCCACTAATATTCGAATATACAAAAGCAATTTTTTTTTTCACGTGTAGTATAGAAATTTGTAATAAGATACATAATGCAGTTATAATAAAATATTGTGCGATTATTTTCATATAATTAAAATTAATATTTATTTATTTTTTAGAAAATACGAGGGAAGCGGTGCTTCCACCGCTTCTAATGACGGCACGCCACTGTCGGCCATGCACTTAGGTTGTGACAAATTTTGACAAATTACAGTGCTAGCTGACAGTGCTTTTGCTTATCTTGTTTGCATGAAAACTTGGTATCCGGGACAGAACGCCTACAAAAAATTCCAGAAAGTTGCTGCTTGATCCCAGTCTCTCCAGAATAGTAGGCTTTTTTCGCTCTTTCCGCCCTGTGGGTTTATGGGTTCGGTCAGGCCCACAATGGGCGGCCGGGTGGTGAGGGACGGGGCCGACATATCTGGAGATTTTTTGATCCTTAGGGATTGGATCCCGGATCCCCAGAACTGTAGGTTGCCACCTTGACCGCTCTCGGCCATCCGGCCATCTTAGAATAGTAGGCTGTCATCTTAACCACCTCAGCCATTTGACTATCAACATAGTAATGTACAGTATGATTAGAAAAAAGAAAATAAAAAAACAGTGACGGAACTACAATGGCGCAAAATGGTTCGACCAAACCAGGGACCGCAGCCAACAAGGGCCCGAACGTGTGAAAGCAAAATGCCTTATGATCATTGTTCTGGTGATTTTTTTCAGTTAAGGGCGAAATGTTTTTATGGGGGAGAGTGCAGTCCCATCCTTTACGGCAAAGGTCCGCATTAGAATTTCGAATCACGGTTCAAAATGAAGTTCCAACTCCGAAAAGTTTTAATTTATTGGTTTCAAATAACTCAAAACAAAAATTACAACTATTATTAACAGTATTAAATAATGAACAAATAAAATATTTATCACGAGAAGAACGATCGAAATGTATTCAAAATTCAGTAATATCGAAATAATCGAAACGTGTTTCGTATAGTTCTCCCTCTAGTAGTAATATTACGCATTTTCAAAAATTATTTATATTTTTGGATTTATCGTAATTTTTCCAAATTGACACCTATAAATATATATTAAAAAATTCTTCGAATATTAAAATTTTCATTATATAAGTAAATAAATTTTTTTAAGATCGACCAATTACATAATCGAACGAGATATGCGCGATATTTAAAATGGCTGTGTATGAATTTCGTCATTAACGATTTTATTTTGTATTTTTGGTAAGAACGTTTACTATTTTCATAAATAAGACTTTATTAAATTAGTTATTATGTGTTATTCATTCTAAAATTTGGAATAAATTGCTATTTTTGTTAAAATAAAAACAAGTTCTGTCATTCTTTGGAAGTGAAATTGACAAGTTATGACGTAATTAACAAAAATGTCAGGTGGAAGTTAGTTTTAAGTACTTTCTGCGTATGTAAATGAATGAACGATAAGAAATTTCTACTAAAAATCAAATTATTAATTTAAATTCGCATTATTAAATACATTTTAGTCTGTTATCAAGCAAAGGGTTATTGCTTTGGTAAACAAGGATAACAAAACGAAACTTGTAATATGTTTGAATAGTTTATTTATGATTCATTCGTAATAAATTTGCAAATGTTTATTGTGAATAATAAACGAATTATTTTATTAATCGATTCGTGTTCTTAAATAGAATTTCAATAAGTTAAATATGTATAAAAATTAATGTCTTTAAAAGGAATTTATGCAAAGTTCTGTTAGCATATGTATCAAAAATCCATAAATAAATGTTTTATTGTAAGTATAGCAATTTTATTTAATTTATAAAAGGATTTGACAGGTTGAATTAGTGTAATTTTATTGTCAAATTTTCACATTTAATTAATGTAACATAATTATATTTAATGTTGTATAATAACTAGATCGATAGGGCCATAATCATTTTGTTTTGGGTGCAGTGTTTTAAAAAATTTTATTTTATTTTTTTGTATGAAATATAGTGATAGAGTTATTCTTTATAACTTATAAAAAGTGTGATTTTTATTTTATTGATCTTATAATTTTTCAGGGGAGATGAGGTCTCTTACTTGCTGACAGATTTAAAGCATTGGAGTTGCTCTTGCTGTCGATTAGGATACGACTATGCAGACGTAAGCGAGCGAGAAGAGGCAAGACATGATATATATCAAACCCTGTCAGATATGTGCAAGAACCAGAAATTCACACATGCCAGCAAGGCTTCTCGCTTGTGCGCATTTTTCTTTGCGAGATCACTGTCAACCTCTTGCTCACTACTAAATTTGCATCTGCATAGTCACACCTGTAGTTAGAGTTGCCATACGTCCTGTCGTTATATTTAGTACTTTGTTCTGTAGTTCCATATGCCATGCAAATTGTTCCATATTTTTTATTAAAAAGGCAGTCAATTAGCATAAAAGTAATTAAAAATGTGAACACTCATTTGTGTGACTTGGACCATGTAAATGAGCCTAATAAAGGAATTTTCTCTGTTTGCTAACTAACAGCAGTTTAGTTAGATGCAGACGATGATGTCCTTGGGTCTCTGTTAGGTCCAAAGATACCATTACCATTGATGACTCAACAGAATACCATATATCCTGTATTGGATGGTAACTCTGTCATTAGTGGAGATTTCGTAGAAAATACAAACATCAAACAACCTGGAACAATAGTAAACTTTTTCAAAATAAAAATAATTCACAAAATTTAGAAGAAACACTAAAATGTCTTCACAATTTTGTCCTTTATTACATCTCTGGAACTACAGTTTAATAGAAACTAATAAAAACAAAATTGTTTTTTGCTATTAAAATCAGCTTATCCTCAAATATCCTCAACTGCATTCTATAGTAAGAAGGAAATGAGCCCTATTTAAACTTTTATTAATTATCAAATCACAGACCTTTAAAAAGTTGCAAGGAAAACTCAGCTTTTTTGGTGACCTAAAGGTTGCAGGGACCCATCTCACTTGTAAATGTGCATATTTTTACATCCACCGCTGTTTCCTTTTATGACCTGGATTGCATCTTACCTCAAGCTATGGATCTAACTTATATTATATCCTGAAAAATGAATTGTTAATAAAATATTTTTATTTATTGTAGTTATAGCTAATAATTTGATTTGATGAATTTTAATGCATTTATTGATAGAAATAAATTTGAATTCTATATTTGGCACAGATAGATGAATGTCAATTTTTAACGTAGATTACTATCTAGGTGAGTGTCTATGATCAGAAAGATGTGTTTTGAGAAGACAAAAATAAAAACTGTATATAAATGGGATATTTCTAAAAATAAACAATCAAAAAAATGATTAAGTAATTCAGCAATCAACAGTTTGATGAAAATAGGTTAAGCAAAGTTAGAAATTATCTTTGAATTGTGATTTTAAAATAATCTAATTTCAAAGTATTCAGATGAAATAACTTTAATGTTTCCATTGTATATATATATATTGATTTTATCAAAAATTAAAATATTTAATCTTTAAAATTTTAATATGTAAATTGTTTTTAATTTTTGATATTAAATTTAGAGTTATTTATTTTTCAGATATATAAACATGGAAGAACAGAGAGAGTCGATTTCTAGTCGATTAATTAAATTAAATCAATTATTCTTTGAAAGACTTAAAGGAAATGTTACAAATCGTCATATAATATCCAGAGATGGGTTAATGGATGCTTTATTCGCATTATATGATGAATGCAATAATGAATATATGAGAAAAGATAAACACATAGCAGCTTTTGTAGATAAGTGTAAGTAAAAGTAATAGTAATTTGAATATTTAAAAGATTTTAATTAAAAATAATGAGTTAGAGTTTGTGGTATAGTTGATTTTTTAATATTAAGTATATGTTTAATGTTTTTCTTTTATTCTTAAGAAAATATAAAGATATTTATGAAATTGTTAATATATATTAATGTTTAGTATGCTGTTAATAATTTTTTTCTATAAAATATAGTTAATATAGTTAAAATATTAAAATATAGTTATTTGAATAGTATGGATATTGAATGTTATATACATGTTTAGTTTGTAATTTTTTTTTGTATCTAATCTAGTTTATCAAAAATTAAAATTCTTTAAAAGGTTTTTTTAGTTTCCTTTATATTTTAACACAACATAGGGGTTACATTCTTGATTGTTATAATATAATAATGTAATCATGTCACATTTTAACCTGCTGGGGTTTTTGTAATTGTGATGTTTTGATGCATATGAACCCAAAAAAGATCAAAAACTGATACCAAGGTGTGTTGCATCTATTTCATTTAATATCTCAGGATGAGGTGAAGATTGAGAAATGAAATTTGGCATTTGATCTGTAAACTTTTAGACTGTTTTGCATTTTTTTCAGAGGTGTAGCCTCTAAAGAAAGGTCACCTCTGCTGTAGAAGACTGTTGTTCCTAGTGACTGGACATGGCGAAAAGTGAAGACATTTTTAGTCTGTTATGTTTTTTTTTAAAATGGTAATATCACAGCCAAAGAAAATAATTACAGTAATGTTATCATTATTGTTAATTGACTCATTTTAAGAACATTAAATGCAAACTTTGCCAATCATTTTTAATAAGTACATTTTATAGCTGTTCATCTTACTAAAAAATATTTGCCCCTCTGATATACTGGTATAGATGTTAGACAATATTACTTTAAACTATTAAGTGTTTTTTTGGCTTGGATAGTTTGCAAACTATTTTTCATTTTTATATTTGGTTTCATTCATAAACTGAAAACAATGTAGGATGTTTACATAATGTTTGATTTCTGAATAATCAACTGTTATATGAATTCTAATGAAATTGATAACTAGGATATCATGTGACTGTCATATTGCAATAGAGGCAAAACTGGGAAGAAAGAGGTGATCGCTACATTTGCTGGGCACAGGAGAGGGAATTCTTGCAAGGATTGCCTCTACATGGCTGGCAAATGCAATTGCAAGCCACAGTAGAGGAGATTGTTGCACTTCCTGATGTGGAGAGGCAATTTAAAGAGAAAACAGTGTTGATTGCTTTGTTCTTGTGTTCTGTTTATCATTTCAATTTTCTATTAAGTGTGCATAATGCATTTTTATTTATTTTTTCCATCAATTTCATCAGTTGCACTCAATTGAGTCAGAGAGCATGCACATTTGTCAATTTAACTCCACTATATCTTGAAAATGAAGTCATAGACCCTCACTTTTTATTACACTTTTGGATTCTTTATTGCAATTAATGTAAAATGGCTAAGTTTTCTCAAAATTGGTTGATCAAATTTCAAAAACTAATGCATTCTGTAAGTCACATAGGAAGCACAGATTAAGGACCAGATAGCCAACTCCCATAGACATTATGGTAGTTGGTCTTAGGATCATAGTGCCCTTGCCAGTAAGACAGAAACAGGCTATTCTATTAGATGCATTCACTTTCTCCAAAATATGATTTTATTAATTTTTTAAACATTAAATTAGTCTTCAAATTTAATAGTACTGTATTGATAATTAAAGTGATGCACTTTAAGAAATCTGATAACTAATTATATTTTGCTAAATAATTTACAATTGTTTGTTTTTCTATATAATGTAATAATTTTGATTTTTAGTGATCAATAATAAAGCAATTATTACAAAAAATCCTTAAAAAGATTCTTCTAAGATAATACATAAGCAGAAATTGTTAATTCCTCAAATATACATTTGAAAAGACTGGATTGGAATAAAGACACATTTGTATATATTGTCTTAGAAGAATCTTTTTAAGGATTTTTTTGTAATGATTCTGACCATATATTTTTACCAAATAAAGCAATTAATTTATTTATCCTTAACTAATTTGAAAATCACATATAAGACAGGTACATATTTTCTGTTAATAGGCTATAAGTAGAAAATATTGTTAATACAGTAGAGCGTCGTTTATCTGAAAGCTGGTTAGCCGAAAGTGTTCCAGTCAGCAAATTTAAATTTTTGCTAGTGCTATGGTGCTGCAACCTTTGGCTATGTCTTGGGCTACTCCAATATTTTTTTTGTTGGTGTGTGTGTTTTAGCTGGCAGCACTGGCATTTTTGTGTGTGGTGTTTTTCTGAAGACTGTCAGAACGTGTGTTGGTAGCTGAGTGGACTCCATCTCCACTCATAGCAGTAGTTACCAGACCCTAAACACTGGGAGTTTGGTTGGGGGTTTGTGTTTCGATTGGACAGGCTAGCAGCTTGGAGTTTTCCGGGTTTTCTCCTTGCAGATGACACCTAAATAGGGGCCAGCTTCCCATAAAAGTCCTCCTTTAAGGCATTCTATCTCCGTTCGTCTCTCTTCTGGCTGTCTTCTATAAGACCAGCTCTTCTGTCGCCTTGTGATCTATCTCCTGTCTCTATTTTCTTTCAGAGTAAAAGTGAATAGCAATACACATTCTTGTTCCTTGTTGTTCATAGAGGAGTGCCTCTATGAACAACAAGGAACAAGAATATGTTCATGCTGAATCAAACATTTTTGATACTAGATTAACTTCTAGAGTATAATTTCTTTTTGTTTTTATATTTTTCAATATATTTATTTTGTTTGTACAAAATAAAGAAATAATTTTTAATGATACAAAAGCAACGATTATTATTATAAACATTTTTGTTAGGCTTAATATTGACGGCAATTCAATGCGAAGTGACATGCAACGGAGAAAAATTTTAACATGTGATAGGTTAATATATTTTTTCGTACATAATCGGTTATCTGAAAAATAAGTTATCCGAACAATTCCAGTCCCTAATTGATTCAGATAAACGACACTCTACTGTACTAATGATATTGACTTTAACTTTTATAAAACTAAACATTTTTAATTTATCCATTTCTACTATTAAATAAAGTATCAAAATGTCACTTATAATGATGTAATTTAATTTTACCAAAATCCTACTTGAAATCCTAAATGTGTTTTAATTTTGAATAATAAAAGTTTTATTATAATTATTAAAAAGGGCACTTCTAATATCAAGATGGTGGATTTCACTAGTCACCATATGTTAAATGATGACCACGTGAATGTCCAATTATAAAATCATTCATTTGAAATAGTTTGATAAATATCAGATTTTATATGTTTAAATACAGAAAGCTCTGTAAAAATATAAGTTTTTATAAGTTTTATTTAGTAATTTAAATTTGAAATGGTCTATTTTTATCTGTTATGGATTGTTGAACCATTCTAGAGTGTTATAAAACTTTATTGTTCATACAAATGATATTAACTTTATCTTCTACTTATAGCCTGTAAACAGAAAATATGTACATATCTTATATACTTGAACACTTATTTACTGTATATTTCTGCAGATAAGACAACATTCAGATTTCGTCAGTTTTATAGTGTTAGCATATATCTGTCCTATAAGATGACCCCCAAACTATCAATGGCCTATGAATTTAGTTTAGATCAGCAATCATCATCTCGATAATTCTGTATACACTATATAGTATTATGTCCTATTCTGTATACATTTTTTATTTTTTTATTTTCTTACATTTGGCAGCACTGTCTTGCGATTGTTGCAAACATTCACACTGATTTGGGCATTCGGGTAATGACCTTGACTATTCACAAAAACGTATGGGCTATTCTAATTTGTGGACATACCCTACTCTCTACTAGTAAATAATTACGGTTTGTCCGTNTCAGTGAGTATTCAGGTTCAACAGTCTTTGTTCGTAAATCTTCTTCCGGTTCAAAAAAATCTTTTATTGTACCATACCTTGAGATATCAGTATTGTTCTTGGATTGTTCCTCAATTAAGTATTCTTCTCCTGACATTTCGCTTGTCTGAGTATTTTCCTCTATATCTCTTGTATACTCTCTACGTGGTCTTCCTCGTCCCCTTTTTTGCATACCTGCTTGACTTGGTAATGGAGGAGATCGAGGAAAAGGTCCGGGATTTAACTCAATACCAGCAATCATTAGTAAAATTAGAATTATTATTCGAGTTAATAAAACATTTAAACTACTTATTTCAGTTCTAAACTTATTATTTTTTTGTAAAAATTCCATGACTAACGTCGCCACAACAGCTCAGCAAAAAAGTCACCAACACCTCCGCCTTTAATTTATATAAATTTCAATCTAATTATTATTTTTGTATTTGACCTATAAGACAACAAGATTTTGGGGGCCTTTTTTTATGATTCAACTATTGTCTTATCTGTGGAAATATATAGTATTTATCAGTAATAAAAGTAGAAGGTATATAAAATCAAATATATCTGTGATCTTCACTGGATGAACTCTAAAGAAATGAATGGTTCTGCTTATTACCAGTGAGGACTCCACAAAAACTTTTCAAGATTTCGCTATCTGGTCTTTAATCTGTGCATAGAAGAGGCTTTGCTAACTCTCAAAAAATTACTGAAGAAAAATTGATGTCTTTTAAATTAATTTTCAAAGAATGGTTAGAATAACATCCATAGATTTGAAATAATTTCTGGATACTAAATTTCAAGTTGGAATCACTTAGAATTATCTTTTTTATTAACTATTATGACTAGAAACAATACATATAATAAGCTATTAAGTTAAAAAATAAGTTTACATTATTGTATTTTATATTGTACTTTAGGTGAAATATCTGTTATAGAATATTAAACATCACTGTAATAAACTTTGAAGTAAAAGAATTTTGCATATATATTCATGAAATTTTATTATATTTAAATAACTTTTATATTAAATTTTATTAATAATAATAATTGGCTAATTATAATTTTGTGCTAAAAATTAACTGCTACAAATGTGAATATTTTTGTTTTATTCTCCATTGTTGCTAAATGTTTCTTTGTATGGTTTTAAAAATAATTGAACTGAATTGGTTATTTAAGATATTACAATGTACATTTTATGAATTTTCTTCTGAAATATATACACAGTATTGGTTTTTATTTTATGCAAAAAAAATTTTCTTTTATAGTTCGTAATGCTGTAATCGAATTGAGACATCTTCAAGTAAATATTGGTGATTTTGAAACTAAAAAAATAATTGGACAAGGACATTTTGGAGAAGTCCAAGTTGTAAGAGAAAGATGCACAGGGGATGTATATGCTATGAAAATATTACGGAAAAGTGATACGTTATCTCAGCAAAGTGTATGTAAACTTCTATGATATAGAACAGCTTTTTAAATAATTTTATTTCTTACTTGTAGATTTTCTGTATTATTATGCATTTTAGTTAAAATGCATAATAATACAGTTAATGCTAAATAATCCTATATTTATAGGTATAGTATTTTGTTCAGCAAGTAAAATAGCTTAAGGTTAAAATGTACAATTTATTAAACTATTTATTCTACATATTCATTTTGGGTTGATGTGAACTTTCAACTCATCTTCAGTGCTATATCTATTGGGTTGTTCGGAAAGTAAGTTCGTTTTTTTACCACTAGACGGATTAGTGGTATTTTCCCGCCATTTTCGTTCTAAACCGTATTATTATTATATATTTTGACAGCTAGCATTTTATGGCTTATTTGTAAAAAATTTTGTTTGATTTCGTGCAATTATTTATTTTTTGTGTCCCATCAAATATGGAAGATCGAAAGCAGCATCTTCGGCATATTTTGTTGTTTTATTACCAAAAAAATAAAAATGCCATTCAAGCAAGAAAAAAATCGTGTGACATGTATGGTGGAGATGTGTTGACAGAACGACAGCGCCAAAATTGGTTTACAAAATTTCGTTCTGGAAATTTCAATATTGAAGATGCACCTTGTTCTGGATGGCCAGTTGAAGCCAATGAAAACAAAATAAAGATACTGATTGAAGCAAACTGCCGAATAACAACACGTGAAACCACTAAGAGATTAAATTTGTCAAATTGAACTGTTTGAGTACTTGAAACAAATTGGTTTCGTTTCAAAGCTCGATAAATGAATTCCACGAGTTCTTAAAGAGAAATGCTCTATTTGGTGGGATATTAAGAAAATTTTTTTTGGAGCTTTTTACCAGACAATTTAACAATTGATTCGAAAGTGTACTGCATTCGAGTAAACAAATTGCGTAATATCATCAAACAGAAAAAGCCAGCCAGAATTGATAAAAAAAACAGCTGTAGTGTTTTACCACAATAATGTCAAATTTCACACAAGTTTGGTAACTCGTCAGAAACTGTTATAACTTAGATGGGACGTGCTATCACACCAACCGTATTCGCCAGATCAAGCACACTCAGATTATTACTT